GCAACATAATCTCAGCAATTTCTACCGTTCCAGCTGCAGCGGCAAAAATCAATGCAGTATTTTTTTTATTGTCTTGCAGTGCCAAGTCTTCTGCATCCATCATTTGGACCAGTTCCTTCATAAAGTGAACATGTCTTGCTCCTGCTGCAATGTGAAGGGCAGTTTCCCATCCCTTTGTTATGCTAGCAGTTAAAAGTTTCTCATCTTCACTGAGAATGCTTTTAGCAGTTTCCCAATCGCCTCTTAGAGCAGCTTTATGGAGGGGCACACCTAACCTAAGATACTTTTCTCTTGCTTCTCCTGTGTGTAGAATTTAAAGAGGAAGAAATATTGGCATGTTTAATTAATTTGTTGAGTACCATGCTGATCACAAAGAAGATCACAAAGTCAAAAACTCAAAAACAGAATTTGAGTTGAAAACTCAAAAAATCTGTTTGGTAGACCTAGTTTTGAAAACTTCAACTAAACAATAACTCAAAACACCCAAATACTTGAAAACAGAACAAATCTGTTCTTTTAAAATGTAATTTAAAAAAATGTATGGTCTATACCTAGCCAAATTCTTAACAATTATGTCATGCAAATTCTTAACAATCATGTCATGCAATACACAAAAATCTTATTTATCATGAAACTGGTCTACCAATAACGGTGTGTATGGACATGATGAGAGAGAGAGAGAGAGATGTTACGTACCATTTTTTTTCTCTAGTAGATGGAGTGAAGGTGTCTTAGGTTCAGTCAAATTGGTTATGTGGATCACATGATATGGTTGAGACTGAATGCCTAGTCCTGTTGTTGGAGCGCCAGCCATTAATTGGATTTCAGCTGCTGGTACATGTTGTGCTTCTGGGCTAGACATGCTTACCATATTAATCTGTGTAGCCATATGCACGCGTGCACCTGCACAAAATAAATAAATAAATAAATAATAAAAACTTAAATTAGTAGGTTGTTGTTTTGTATTAGTTTATCTAATCACCAGTGTATTCAGTCAGTTCTGATCTATGTGATTATATTTTAACTAGTAATTTGTTTGATAATTTATTACATAACCGACCCTAATTAACAAAAGATGTGGTCCTCATTTTGGTACAGTGGATCCCACATGATTTGTATTGGTGGGGAGCATTTTTGCTCACCACTTTAACCCAAAGTGTACCATCATCATTCTTCTCAACATTTGACACGTGTCTATTGATATAACCATGGTTGCATAAATACAAAGTAAAGAGTTAACTATAATTATGCCAAGGGACACGTGTCAAGTGTTGAGAAGGGTGGTAAAGGTACACCTTGGGTTAAAGTGGTGAGCAAAAATATACCCGTATTTGTGTGCCCAACTTGCATGCTAGACATACAGAAGAGCTTAATTATTCTTGAATTATTTGAATTAAATAAAGAGTAATTAATAAATGGAGTCAAAATATTCTTTTTGTTTTCTCCATCCATTTTAGTCGTTCATCTTCTTCTTCTTCTTCTTCTATTC